GAGATCTTTTGAGTAGCAGTCATACACTTATTATCAGAAGTCACGGATCACACATAAGAGTAACGGCAACTATCTCTCTAATGGTGATAGGTTACTCTTCTTATGAATATCTGTCATATCTCTGAGAACCTCTTTATTAGCTGCAGAGTTAGATAATAAATCATCAGCATCTTATATTCGATACCATTATCGGTAGCCCACTTCTCAAGACGTTTAATATTAACTTGAACAAGGGCAACAGGACGATCCATAGTACAATCACCAAATACCATAACTCCACCAGCAAGAGCATTAACATATTCCGAGCCACCATAGATACTTTCCATATTCTCTAAGGCAATATACTCACCACCCTTCAGTTTAACTAGGTTCTTAACACGATCAATGATACGTAGAGTTCCATCAGGTAACCATTCACCAACATCACCAGTCTTAAACCATCCATTAGGAAGATAAGACTTAACTGTTAGTTCAGGTAGCTTATAATAGCACTTACTGGCACTAGGTCCACGAATCATAACCTCACCACGACCTAAGCATGGGGAACCTTCAGCATCCATAGTATCCTTGCTAAGATAAGGTAGACCAGCCTTATCGAGGACCTCAGGTTCACCATCATCATCAATACAAGAACGGAGCATTACCTCAATACCAGGTTCCTGAAATACTCATAATAATAACAGCATATAACGCCCGATTATCAACTTACCGGTGGTCCAACGTTAGAACCCCTAGTATCTTCCATAAGGGATATACATCCACCAGCACAGGTCTCAGTAAGCCCATAACCCTGGATAACAGGGCATGAGAATACACTTAGACAGAATCTCTGAACTTCGGCTGAAAGGGCACCACCTCCTGATAAGACAACTGACACGTTGCCACCAAACGCTGCCTTGATCTTATTGAATAGGATGAGATCGAACAATGGGGTACTACGACCACTAGTCATGGCTTGGTATTTGTAACTGATACAATGATGAAGTGGTGATGAAGATTGTACTGTTAAAACTACTTACTCAAGTGCTGCTGCAGCGATCTCCCTCTTCCATTGTGGTAAATTGGCAAACTTTGCCTTAGCACCCTTCATAATAACCTCAAAGATCTTAGGTACACCCATAATAAGATGAGGTTTAAACTCTTCCAAAGCACCAGTAGGTCGGGCACCAGCTCTAGTAATAGTATGAGGATCAGCATAACCAATATGACCTCCCATAGAGAGCACACCAACATGAACGGCGAGCTCATATATATGGGCTAATGGTAGATAAGCCAGATGAGTAAAATGCTCGGGGAAGTAGTCAATAACTAGAGGTATAACGGTTGCAATAGTAAAACGTATTGATTTATGAGGCATGACCACACCCTTAGGTCTACCAGTAGTACCACTAGTATACATACTACAGCAACTGAGTCTTCTATACACTTATTCATAGGATACTTATCAACAATACCATTACCAATCTTAAGAGCATCATAATATTCAATAACAGATATTCCAGAATCCTGAAAACCTGTAAGATTCTCCTTGCAGTCCTTAGGATCTATATTCCAATTGGTATAGATGATATGTTTCAAGGTTGGCATATCATCCTTCTTAGCGATAAGCTTACCAACGTTCTTCCTATTACAAAAGATAGTAGTAGCAGAACTCTCTTGAATAGACTGTGCTACAGCATCAGGACCTAGAGTACCATATACTGTTGATATGAACATATCCTGGCTCCATGCACCCATAGCAGTGGTGATCCAAGCATCACAAGTATCCTCAAACATAATGACTGAGCATGCTCCTTGACAATCATCAGTATTACCAGTATGAGGTTGAGCATGATTACCAATACTCCTTAGATATGCACCCATGGCTCTAAGATTGGATCCTAGCTGGGAGAAGGTAGTCCAATTTGTCTTGCCGAACATTTTAACAGGGAACCTCTCACCAACATCCTTATATCCAAGGAACTCTCGTACACCAAGAGCAGGGAAGTCTGGTTGATTCTCTACATTGGAATATACCAAATCAAGACAGGTCTCAGCACCAGGGGCCCAGAAGCATACAGGCTTGAAGTCCTTCTTACCAGTCATTACTCGGATTGGATCACCATTCTGAAGGAGAATAACCATGTACTATATAAACTAGGTTGAGATTAGGTTGTTATCACCTCCTCACCAACAACCTCGGAATTATCCTCATCCTCAGGCTTCTTGAAGTTAAGTCTTCGAATAGGACCTCCTATTATGATCCATACTAGGATGTCCAGAAACTTCAACACCCCAGCAGCAATAGTAACACCAATAGACATCATAACCTACAGGGATCACAACAACAAATCTAATACTATATCAACAACGACACCCCATGTTCATCATCACACATAATACGCGCTAAGTTGGCTAGTGATGTAAAAAGCGCGCGCCATTATGAGCTGCGCAACATCATCAAAAGTTTCGCCTGGCTCGTTGCTGTGACTACCGAAGTCTATGGGATTAAGGAGCAGCAGAACACAGCGTCAAGCCAGAACATGTTTTTGAACTACATGTTGACTCGAAACTATCCTACTACATGTTGACTCGAAACTATCCTACTACATGTTGACTCGAAACTATCCTACTACATGTTGACTCGAAACTATCCTACTACATGTTGACTCGAAACTATCCGGGAGGGTGGGAGGGGAACCCACTTTGACCCATTTGAAACATCTCAACCCACAAGGTTAGATGGTTAGGTCAGCACGATACTGTGCAACGCCGCCGATCGCCAAACTTTTGATGCAATCAATGCTACGCTCCGCTAGGCTTCGCTCCGCTCATCCTAACATCACGTGCATTGATGAGCCACATTACATTTGGCTCGAGAGTTTGACAGTCGGTTGTAGTGACTTTAATCATTATGGAAGTCCCTACTACAGACACTACCGATCCTTCTAGACGATTATCTAATATTACAGTGAGCTCTCTAGCAGTATCAGAAGCTGATGATCACCAACAAGGTAGTAGTAGTAATAATAGCCTTTTTATAGGATACATGAACAGTCTTAGGCAATAATGAACAGCCAGTAACCATGACTGCTACACCCATTACCAAACGCTTTCAGAGCTTAGTACATGGTGTTCAATCCTTAAGAAGGTATTCAGCTGCTGAGGCCAGTGTTGTATTAAGGTAATGGAAGGATATCTACTCATGAGTATTGTATCTATCATTTAGGAGAAGTACTCTTGTAAGGAAGATCACTCGGCGTGGTACACTAGACTTTGCTTCTGTAGTTATACTATCATGACTATGATAGTAAGGTGGTCGTGGACCTCAGATACAAAAGAGGACCAGTTATGGTAATCTAAGCCTTGTAGACCACGATATCAGCAGGACAGACTCCTCATCTGCTATTAATTATTACACTATTGAGGGGAATAAGGAACTGCAACCACCAGTTACTAGAGCAGACGAGGAAATACCATCACGCTTTATAAACCATGAACGTAGGGATATAGTAAGGCTGCTACTCGTATGTCCTAGACCCCTTGTAGGGACCTTTGGCTTCGACTTTAATAATCGGTATAACTTGGTATTCTTCCCTGATGGTGATAGATTTGCCTATGCTGCTGGGCAGTTTGTTAAAATGTAAGTTACTACTCTATTGTCTTCTAACATGATGGGATACTTAAGATACACCCTATCTAGTGGTACACAGTTATCCATACCTTGCATAGATCAAGGAGGAGTAGGCTCATTAGCCATAGCCCCAACTGGCAATTATCTTGCTATATCTGAGAAATGCTCTTATCGTCGTCCTAATGTGTAGTATACTCTCCCTCTCACTGACAGCATTGACAAGATTATCAGGTATATATATGATATCAGTATGGAGTTCCATACTGGGGATCGGTATCCAATACCTTTATATAAAGTATTACGTCGAGGTAATCATCATCATCATCATTGTAAGACCTCTTCTAGTGATAGGATACTATTTAGGAACGGAACGCGGCTACGCTTCAGTGGACTTCAGTCCTCATGATACTAATCAACTATGTAAGGCATGATGGTGTGTGTAAAGGTATAGTGATTGTAGGTACGTTGGGATGCTCTACCGACTATATGCTATCTATATGGGATTGGCAGAAGGAGAAGGTCCTATTACGATGCAAGGCATTCGGTCAAGAGGTTCTTAGATGTGTATGGGGAAGGTTCCCTGGAACTCTAGCTACATATGGTGGGCCCGGGGATAGAACCAGGGACCTTCTGGGAACATTAAAAGTGTTAGGAGTCGGGCACATACGATTTTGGAAGATGGCAGAGACCTTCACTGGTTTGAAGTTGCAAGGAGATATCGGCAAGTTCGGCCAGGCTGAGTTGAGCGACATTGAGGCATATGCTCAGCTGCCCGATGGGAAGGTCGTTACAGGTCATGCCATATGCAGGGATTGAACCTGGGTCCTTCGTTATGAGGTAGTCCATGCAGGTAGCGAGTATGGCAAGTTGCTTCTCTGGGAAGGGGTCTTTGTGAAATGCGAGATGGTTCGTAAACCGGAGTGTGGCTTCACTAATGACGGCACTAGTGAATGTGCCACCTGCCACAACGGACCTATTGGAGTGGTAGTAGGAAGGCAATGCATCACTACTCTCCATCACTACTTGGTATATCCAGGTATTCCTAGCTGACCTCATTACTACTACTACCAAGGATGAAGAATCAGCTGCTATCACTAGTGTGGTCATCACAGCTGGACATGATGGGTACATCAGGTGGTGGTCTTTTGAGGATATCGATATGGCTGAGTCCCCTGATGAAGTCGACTGTACTGATGTAATATCCTTATCATTACTCAGTAGTATCATCATCACTACTAGGTTGGTATTACTATGCTCAAGGAGTTGCGAGTACCTGCTTATGGATCAACAACACCACCAGCTTGTATACAACACATTGAGAGGTACTCCACTACTCATGCTGTCTGGTAAATGGTGAATAGCAGGTCCTCACCTGAGGACATTCCTACCAAGTGGCTAGTACAAGATTCCCGTAACGGTGCTGTATGGCTTATCAAGTTCACCGATACTCAGATGCCTGAGATACTACAGGTAGTTTAGTAGTAACCCATAGTTGGTCGTAGTCGTAGTCGTAGTCGTTGATATCGACTGGCTAGGTATTAAGAGCTCCTGCTGGCCCTCTTGCTAGTGGAATTGGTATTATTATGGATACCTATCATGAGCAGTTGACCTCAAGTGCTGCCATTGTTGGAGGAGAGGAGGATGGCCTTATACGTACACTACTACTTCACTATAAACCTTTATTACATTAGTAGGTGCTTATAATATTACTATCGATACCTCTACTATGTCTGAGGATTTCCATTATGAATTGAGATATGATGATGATGATGATGAAGTCATAAAGGTGACCTCTATGGCTATGGTAAGAGGAGGAGCCTTTGAGGACACTCGATTGTCGTCGGCTACCTCCCCCCCTCATCGTAGGTATCTGCTAATGATATCATCGTGGGATATGAGGATGGCACGGTACTACTACTACTTCTCCTTATTGATATGAATAATATCGTGTATTAGGTGCGATGCTTGGCCTTAACCTCAGAGGGGTTTGTATTGTGTGGTTCCTGGAAGCCACACTCCAACGTATCTGTTGATATGATATTAAGTAACCACCTCATCCATAACCTTGCCTGCCATCATTACCTTCTTAGAGTCTGAGGACCTTCTTATCACAATCTCCAAGGCTGATTCCACACCCTTCTTGTTCCGTATTACCAAGGAGGGCCCATCTACTGCTTCTACCCTCAACCCTCTTGGCTTTATTCAAGTCGGGGGTAATGCCCATACCATCACATCTGCTACATTGGGGAGGTGGTCTGCTACTATACTACTCCTTACCCTAGATGATGGTACTTTGATGAAATACGATATATCTATGGTAGGTGGGGGGCTGCTCTATGATCCCCACCTGTTGACTTATCATACAGATGCTTATGGATGGTACACCACTCCATACGTATAGGATCTTATCATCATCATCCTGTTGTCGGCACTTTAAAACAGTTATACCATCTCCAGCTAAGATAAGGAATATGAAGCGGAGACAGGAGGAGGAGGAGGAGGCTGAGCGTAAGGCCAATGAGAGGGAGATAGAGGGCAAAGAGGAAGAGGAAGCTGATGATGGGGGTAAGGGTATTCGAGTGTTGGAGTCCTTGCATGAGGAATATCAGATGAGAACCAGCAGCAGCAGGACCAAGATGATGATGATGATGATGAAGTTGAGGATGATGTATCTAAGGAAGGCTACATTACCTCATGTTGCTTGTAGGCTTATATACACTTTAACAGTACTCTAGTAGTACTCCCTGTTTAGATCTAAGAGTAGCATCCTCCTTGCTGGAGTTGGGTATTATGGTGGATATCTGTGGGAACTGGATGATGTACAGGATGAGGAGGCTAGACCTAAGTTGGGACTCATACAAGATGCTCAGCCAGGTAAGCCGTCTTCTTAGTTAGCAATATGGTCATGGTCATTTAGTCTTAATGATGTGGTCACCGAGTGAGAACTATCTTATTATCGGCTACAATAATGGACGTGTGTGGCTGGTGAGGAGGTCTCGGGTTCGAACCCCAGATGGGCCATTTTCAACACAGCAGCAGATACCCAAGGAATCGTCTCTAACTACCTTCATTGAAGTAGCCTGTGGTGACGCTATAAGAGGGTCTATAGCTGGAGTAGACTTGTCCCCTGACGATAAATGCTTAGTAGTGGCCTCTCGTGATGGGTCATGCAGTGTGCATACTTTGCAAAATGATAAAGTAGTAGAAACGCTCTCTCTAGGGATCGAACCTGAGACTATCATCTTCAATAGATCCTCGAGGCCAGTAGGCTATTGGAAGGTCAACGTAGAGAGGGGAAGAGTGGAAGTATGATGATCGGGGATATGATGTTCCCAGCTCCAGAGAGTACTCTCCGATGTGGTAATAAGAGGATCCCCATCTAGGAGTATGGTGGTCATGACTGTATAGATCTACCCCCACTGGTAAGCAGCACTTGTTGGGAAGGATTGCCGCCTAAGGCCACGTCAGTGCCGGAAAGGGTGGAGGTGGTAAGAGGCTTACCGGAGAGGGTGGTCCGATGCTGGGTCTAGGTTATCACAACTCGTGGCCACTACTCTCTAGAGGAAGAGAAGTTAAAGGCTGAGGAGGAGAGGGCTCGAGCCGTTGCTGAGAAACACAAAGAAGGGGTAGTAGTAGTAGGCTTATGATGGTAGCTATGAATGACGAGTATCCTACATACCGTATTGATATCAGGTTAGGAAGGAGGTTGTCGTACTCCGACAAGAGCTGGAAGAGATTAAGTCAGATTTCTATAAGAAGGTTATTACTGTATCTAATGAGGCTTAGTATCATTGAGTAGGTTTAGGTAGAGGGAGCCAATCTACAGCCATTGAGTGTGAAGGAGGCAACCACCTTATTCACTGTTGATGATGAGTATGTACATAGTCTACGACGAGATATAGATGCCACTGTGGAAGGGGTAAGGTACTGCTTGTCATGGCTACATATATAAAGTTAGGTGAGGGTAGAGATGGCATATGATATTGAGAAGAGCTTATTGGGTGTATCGAAGTTGAAGGAACACTTCCTAAAGGGACTAGAGTGTGATCAGTCAATACAGGTCTCGTCCTTTGGATCTCACTTAGCTCGTGTTGGTGGGTGCATCACCACTCTGGAGGGGCTTTACAGGTGCCATTGGCAGGTACATTCCGTCTACAGATCCTTCCTAAACAGTTCCATCATGAACTAGCTCGATTAAGGGGGATGTTAGAGAGCAGTGGTAAAGACAGTATGTGCTCATGGTCGGAGTCCTTCCTATTAGGGGGAGAAGGGTCCGGGCCTACAAAGGCGGCCCGTCGAGGGAGTAGCAAGTCTCTAGCAGATGTATTCAGTGTGATGGGTAGTAAGTTGGAGGTTCATTAGGGAGGATAGTGTTGATGTTATAGAGGAAACTGAAGAGAAGTATACCGATGATGAAGAGCAGGAACAGCAGCAGCAGAAGGGGCTGCTTACAGCTGTGCTGAAAAGGGAGATGAGGAGGGCTAAACGGGAAGAGCGTAGGAGGCGATTACAGGAGGTTAGAGATGCAAGACCTGATGATAGTATAGATAATGAGAAGGATGTAAGCTACTATAATACTAGTGTTGCTAGGTTGGAGTGAGGCTAGGGTAGTAATTATGGTATTAGGTGGAGGCTATTGCGGAGGCTAAGGCCAGTATCGGTAACCATATGCTCAAGTTAAGTCCACAGTATAAACTACCAGAGAGGTCGGTAATGATGATAGGGATAATAGGGAATGATGTTGTTATTAGGATGAATACTGATAGTAAGATGAGGCAGATGCTATTCTTAGAAGAGGCTGTACATAGTATTAAGACTAACTTCAATGCACAGGTAGCTACTGCTGATGAGGAGAGGACAGTAGTAG